AGGCCGCGGCTCCCCTGGCCGCCCAGTCTGGGCCCCATCCATAGCTGTAGTGGAATCCGGGGACCCAAGCGCCATCCGGCCTTTGTGGCTTTGTGGGGGGGGACTTGGGGGGCTGCTCTCAACCTCCTGGGGCAGAGGAGAGCCCCAGTCTCCAGTCCGAAACCTGCTGTGTGACCCTGAGCTGGTTCCTGCCCCTCTCCGGGCCAACTCGGCCCTTCCTGGCTGAGTAGCCTCGGACAAGGTGCCTCCTTCTCTTTGTGCCTCTTTTTCCTTTTTTTGTGAACCAGTCCCTGCATCGAGGCCCTCCAACTTCCCAGGTGACAAAGATCACCCAGACTATTGATGTAAAAAATTCAGCTTCCGGGTCTCTTCCCTGGAAACACAGATTTCCTGGAGCCAGGCAGGGACCTGGGATGCGTATGTTTAATAAACAGCTAGGAGATTGGAAAAACGTGGCCCCATTTCAAGGGGAGGCTGTGAGCAGCAAGTCAGAAAATCTGTGCCAAGAGCACGTTACCCCGGGGCCAGTGATGATCAGCACCGTGATTCTGAGAGCTCACACGTGGGGCACCTGGGTGGCTCAGTCGGTTAAGCATCCGACCTTGGCTCAGGTCATGATCACGAACTGTGAGTTCAAGCCCCACATCAGGCTCTGTGCTGACAGCTCAGAACCTGGAGCCTGCTTCAGATTCTGTGTCTCCCTCTCTCTCTGTCCCTTCCCACTCTGTCTCTCTCTCTCTCAAAAATAAATAAACATTACCAAAAAAAAAAAAAGCTCATACACTTTATTATTTTTCCTTGGAAGACATTTTCAGCGATTAACATTTTCAAGAACATCACATCTTACATAAAGTGCGGCAAACCTGTGCAGGGTAGGATCAATTAAGTCCCCCCAAGAAGAACGTGTGACAGAAAAATCGTGATTTTTGACTTTTCCCTCTGCCTGTTGCCAAAAGCTCACACCTAGGGCCAAAAGCATTTGCCAACCTTTTCTGCATAGACCCTTTACTCGTAGTGGACTCTTTTCAACAACTCTAGGGGTGGGCACTATTATCTCGGTTTTATAGGCGAGGAAGAGCAACGTGCCCCCGCCCCCGGCTGCAAGTGGCCAGCTCAGCTCTGTCTGGGCGCTCAGCCTCCGCTCTTGACCGGCCTGCCCTGCTGAGGAATGAGGGGGACTTACCAGCTAGCTTCTCCACCCAGCAGCTGTGGGAACTGGGGGACCCAGAGCAAGGTTTTTAAGCTCTCTGTGCCTCAGTTTCTCTTTTTTCTTTCTTTCTTTCTTTCTTTCTTTCTTTCTTTCTTTCTTTCTTTCTTTCTTTCTTTCTTTCTTTCTTTCTTTCTTTCTTTCTCTTTTAATGTTTATTTTTGAGAGAGAGAGAGAAAGCCAGAAGGGGAGGGGCAGAGAGAGAGATGGGGACAGAGGATCCGAAAGGGCTCTGTGCTGACAGCAGCGAGCCGCATGTGGGGCTCGAACTCACGAACTGTGAGATGGCGGCCTGAGCCGAAGTCAGCCACTGCACCGACTGAGACACCCAGGCGCCCCGTGGCTTCAGTTTCTTCATCTAGAAGATGGGCCAAGTGGCAGTAACTACTCTGAAGTGTTGCTGTAGAAATTCATTGAGCACGTGTTCGCAAAAGGACGGTCGATACTCGAGATAGAGGAGCTAGTATTGTTTTGCGGTCACTGTTCTTTCCTGGAACTGCTAACAGAAGGGGATTGGAGCCCAGGGATGCCTAGAGGGACGGGAGCTTTGGTCCTGGGGACATCCGAGCCTCCACACCCTGAGGATATGGGATCTGGAATCCGACTGACCTAGAAACCCAAGCAGCCTCCTCCTTGGCTCCCTCCACCCTGTCCCTCCCGCTGGCCTCATTCTGCATTGCACAAAGCAACCCCCAACTGAACACAACCACTGTCTTTCGCAAACCCTGAATGCTGTGGCTGTGGCAATTTCCCTTCGGGCTTAGATGAGAAAGGCTGTTTTGTCCAGTTTAGGAAGGAGTTCCAAGGTCCCGTGTGGCCCGGCCTGCCAGCTGCCCACCCGGGATCCCTTCTTCCTCTCTTCCTTGCGACGCAGGACCCTGAGGTTCTCTGGGGGCGGCGATATACCCAGGGGAAAGACTACAAGTCCCAGCCTCCCTTGCAGCTAGGGTGGCCATGTGACTAACAGCTGGCCAATCAGATGTAAGCGGCCGGCGCAGGCCGGGACTTTGGGGAAGGTTCCTTAAAGGGGGCGCAACCTGCGTGGGGTTGCGTTTGCCCTCGGTCCCTTTCTTTCCGCGGCCGGCCTGGAACGTGGACGAGGCTGCGGCGGCTCCAGCAGCCATCTTGGACCACGAGGTGACCAAGGGAATGGCAACCCCGCGTCACGAATGATGGGGCAGAAACCCAGAAGGCGCTGTGTCTCTAATGCCCCCGTGGAGCCGCGATTCCAGTTCTGAGCAATCCGCCTCTGGGAAGTCTTTCCGTGAGAGAGAAATAGTCTTCTTTCCATGTAAGCTGCCCTCACCCGTACCAGTCTCCCTTTCATCGTGTATGTTAGCCTTCTCTCTCTCTGTCTTGTGTTATTATTTCCAGTCCCTTCCTGGCCACCGAAGAGAAATTCTAACTGGTGTCCCTGGGCTCCAGCCCTAGGTACGTTGCTCGCTCTTACGTGAACTTGGTGGAAGGGCGCGCATGCGAGAGCCATTTCCCATTTGAGGGGGCTGGATAATATCAGGGTTAAGAGTGTGGACTCAAAGCCATCCACGCTTCCTAGTTGTGCCATTGCCCGGAAACCTAATATTGGAGACCACTGATTTAGGAAACAGCGTTCAAACTCCATGGAGAGCGCTCTTGGCGCCTCCCTCGGGTGGGGGCAGAGGCGTGGACGCGACTTTTGGCTTTTGGCTCGCTCCTTCCTTCATTGGCCAGAACTTGGTTACACGGCCACCCGGAGCTGCAAGGCCCTCTGGGAAAGTGAGTATCTGACACTTTGAGTGTCTTTTACCGGAGGCGGCGACTGTCATCATGAGAGAGGAGTGGCTGCTGGGGAGCTATTCCCGGGTATTCCACACCCTCTTCCCTTCGTGTGTTTGGTTATTGTGCATCTAACCAAGAACCAACCCTCTACTGCAACCAGACCAGTCTCTCTTTTTATTGTATTTATTGTTTCCGATTTATATTTTTAAGTAAGCTCTACACCCAACGTGGGGCTCAAACTTACAACCCCAAGATGGAGAGTCGTGTGTTCTACCGATAGAGCCAGCCGGGCCCCCCCTCTTTGATTGTAGATAGTGGCCTCCCCTGTCTCTCATCACACTTGCAAAACGTTTGCCTAGTCCGTCAACATTTCAAAAATGTCCGTCAACATTTCAAAAAACCGTTAGGTTTAGTTGACTCACTCTGTGTTTTGTTTTATCCTTCATCCATTTCTGCTTTTGCCTTTTTACATTCCTTACCTTTTTTCCCTTGGTTTATTTTTCTGGACGGCTTATTTTGTTCATCGTCAAGCTCTTTCCGTTCTAGTATTCCCAATGCATTTAAGCATTTAAGACTATCATTCCCCCTCCAAGTGCGGCTTTGGCCCTATACCGCAGGTTTCTGGATCTAGTGTTTTCACGGGCATTTGATTTTGGTTGGTATTTTGCATTGTAATTGCCTCTGTAATTCAAGGTTTATTTAATTTACATCTCAGGAATTTTCTAGGTGTAAATAAACTTTGGGGGAGAGAGGGCTGTACCTACTTTTATCGCATTACTATTTTGAATCCTATATTGACCTACCATGTAAGCTCGCATTTGAGGAAAGGGCTCTGAGGCTAATAAAATGGTTTGAAAAAATTCTAGCCTGCCCCAAGCCCACACGTTTTTTGCTGATGGACAGACTGAGAGTCTAATGAATCCATGGCAAATGGAGGATCATAATCCAGATTTTATAACCCTCACTGTGGTGTGCGTTCACCACCCACCATCCCATCTCAACGTGGCCACCCCCAGAAAGTCTCTGTCTTGAAACTTGCTAGGAAATCTCTCTACTAGGCCTTTCTGTCCCTGCCCAAACCTCTCTTGCTACCCTGAGTCTGTGATCACCACTTCTGACCAACACTGAGAGTCTCTCTCTCTCCCTCTCTCTCTCTCTCTCGGGACATCTTGGCTGAGTGGGGCCTGTGGCTCTGGTCCTAGTAGTCGCAGGTGTTAGAAGACACTCTCTTCCAATCCCTCACTCTCTACCCCTCACCCCCACCCCTACTCCATTTGCATTTAGAGGAGGAGGGAGATATTTTTAGGGTTGTGCAGGTGATGTTTGAGACAGACATGGGGTGGGGGACAATCCCAGGACAATGAAGGCCACAAGGGAGCATCTTTGGTTAAATAGATGGCATCCCTCATGCCCCCCAGGGAATTTGGCCATTCCCTGTCCTGGCATGAGCAGCCTTGCTTCAGGGCCCAGGGGCAGTGAGTTGCAGCATAGGGGAGGGCTGTGTCCCACAGAACCCCGGTGTTTGGTGTCCCAGGGAGGGGCAGTCTTTGGCCCGTTGGGAAGCAGGACCGTCAGATATAACCTGGGGAGACGTGGGAAGAGCCCGAGGCCTTGACACTGAGCAGGAGGGACTCATCACGGTCCATTAGGCATCCCTGTGCACGCGTGCACCCACACTGAGAATAACCTCGGGTAGGAAAGGAGGCAAGTGTGGTCACCAGGAGATGGCAGGGTTGACGGTCAGAGAAGGAGAGGCTGACACATGCATGTGTTAACCAGGACATTTATGGCCTCTGTGGCTGTGCGACAACTCAGAGAAGTAGGGCCCCGTCAGTTCTAGCTCTAGCGCGGAAGCAGGAGAACAGCCGACCGTGGTCAGTCCGGCATCCTCCCTGGGAACAAGTGGTCCTCCAATCAGGGGGAGGAGAAGGGGAGGACGGCGTGAAGAGCTCTTCTCTCCGGAGGTCCCCACAGCCACAGCTGCGCGGCTACTCCAGGGCTGAGGCGGGGAGGGGCAGAAGGGTGGAAGAGGCTGTCAGGGAGGGTAGAGGACGAGCTCCCGGTGCCCCCACCCCTCGTGCTCCCCTGCCCGCCCCCAGCCTCCCGCGGCCCCTCGCTCAGCCTGTGCCAGGTTCAGGTTCAGGAAGGTGGCGTTGGTCCTCATGCAGGGGAGGGAGGTTGACTGTGAGAAGAGAGACAGGGTGAAAAGGATTTCCGAGGCTTCATGGGGTGGGGGGTGGCCTGCTGTCATCGAAGAGCATTCTGCCTACAGCACTGACCCAGGACCAGGGTTTGATGAAGGAAGGGGTGCCTGGCAGTGACGGATTTCCTGACCCCAGGAAGTTCACATCTGAGCTGGGAGATGCCATCCCTGACTCAGGGCTTCCAAAAATGCCTGGTCTGATGGGGGAGAGGAGGCTCCAGACTGGAGAATGACCAAGTTCCCAGTGTCTGAGAGCTCCTGGTCTAATGGGATGAAGCCTGCCTCAGGGACATGGCCTCTTGGACCTCTGGGGATGTCTAGTCTGATGGGGATGGTCCTGGTCCCTGACTCTGGGAGCCCCCAGTCTGATGGAGGAGACCTGGTCCCTGCCTCTGGGAGCTCCCAGTCTGATGGAGGAGACCTGGTCCCTGCCTCTGGGAGCCCCCAGTCTGATGGAGGAGACATGGTCCTTGGTTCTGGGAGCCCCCAGTCTGATGGAGGAGACATGGTCTTTAACTCTGGGAGCTCC